TGGACTAAATGCACGAGGGCGTGAGTGGTTGAAGACTTTTTCACACTACCAAACTGGAAAGGGTCGATGTATGGCATAACAATAGGTGCAAGCCGGTTGAAAACAAAAGACTCAAGAATTGTGCTCAACACTGCAGTTAGAAATATAGGTCTAAGGTCTGTATCAATAGACTTCGGTCTAAAGATCTTCCCCAACGGGAGGACATCCGCACATTTCCACAGCCCGGGGACACGACCTTCTCTAATAGAAGAGTTAAACATGGAACACACAGGGATGCTAATAGTTGTGGCGCAGGTTTTCAAGACCCAATTGGGAATCTCATCAGGTCCTACAGACTTGCGATCTTGGACAGCCACCAAAGCAAGTTCTACGGCATCACGGGTAATAATGTACTCATCAGGAATGTTGGAAACAGGTATGGGAGTAAAGTTTAGTTGTGGTATGTCAGCAGCAACACTGCAAAAGGATTCGTTAATAGCGACAGCAAGATCGAAGTCCTTCAAAACAGTGCCATTTACGGCTAAGCTTGTTAACGGGGGAAAATTAGAAAGTCCAGACAACAGCTTGATTCCGTCCCACCACTTTTTAGGATTACTCTCATGCATGTGATTAATTTTGTCATTGTAGAATCTTTGGCGTGCTCTCTTGCAGAGTTTTATCACTTTATTGCGATAAACATTATATTGGTGTAAGTCATTATTCAACCAAGCTTGTTGACGTTTCTTAATAGATTCTTTAATAACATGAGTAATCCATGGTTTGTCGTTAGGATGATGTTTCACAGTACGCATGAGGATACAGGAATTCAAAGCAACGTGAACTACCGACTGGAAAGAATTCAGTTGTTCCTCGCATGATTTCAGCCGCATGAGTGGCGTCCAGTTAACAGTATTCAGACGAGAGATCAAATTTTGTTTGTTAGGAGCTCGATAATCACGGTTTTGCAATCGTGTGGTTGGTAGACTTGGAGCATGTGTCAAAATAGGTTGTAGTAAGATGTTGGAATGATCAGACTGACCAATAGGAGGCAGGATGATGGCATCGTAGAAAGGTGACAGAGTTGAAAAAGCTTGGTCAAGGATATTACTTTCCCTGGTGGGCTTGGTAACCAGTTTCTTCAATCTAAAAGAGTTTACCAGGTTTGAATTAATTGAAATCACCAAGGACCAAGATGGCAGAATTAGGATAGGTGGCAAGTAAAGAATCCAAACATTTGAAGATATGCATTCGAAGAACATGGTCATCGCTCTGAGAAGAATGGTAAACTGTTCCCAATAAAATAGGGTTGATTGCTCCTCTTATTATTATTATTATTATCATAATATTTTGACAGGGGGCCTAACTCGCAGTGCGATTTTCAGTAGGGCCCTGATAAAAACTATTACATAAATAATAAATTGTCCATAAAGTTAATAAAAGTTAGTAGAGGTTAGATTAAAAAGCTAAAAAGTTAGAAATAAGTATACTGTAATAGAATATACATATAGAGCATTCCAAAACCATTAATCTATGAAAGTCTAAAAATTTGTTGCTAAAAGGCTTTTAAAACGTTTTTTTTTCCCATTCTGATTAGAAACCATTGACTCTCAATTTCTGCCTCACTCAGATCAGTTAATTCAATAACATTAAGTTGTGAATTGAAATAGGTACAAAGACCGCCCCCGCGTTGGTTATTCGGTCTATCCCTTCGCCACGATACATAGCCAAGGTATACGAAGAAGTTCTTCAGTTACTCGCGAATTTAACCATGTTTCAGTAATTACAACAACATCGTATAATTCGGTGGAAATTGATGCTGAGACCTCGTCTAACTTATCGACCTAACATTACTAAACCAAACCTTGGGGAAGCGTGGAATTGTAACTGATCTCCGCAAGGGAATTAATGAACTATAATCAGGGACACTGATGCACTCAGGTCGTTTATTTTTCCTGGGTTTCATGATTGTAGGAATCGGGTATTTGTTAAGTTCCTGGTTATGTGAAATGGCACTTACAATGTTTTGAGGGGGTAAAAACGACGAGATTTGGGTTAGCATATTATCTGCTTCGTGCGACAATGAGGTGTTCCTGGAATTGCCAAGATTGAGCTCCCAAAAACTTGATGATTCCCCCATTCCGCTATTATTAGAGTTAACGTTTCCACTGAATACCGTACCGCCCCGAGAAGGGGGAAAAAGTGACACGTTTTCTTTGGAAGTCTGTTCGTGATTCGAACTGGTGATGGCCGTTGTGGAAATTTTTTTTATTCAAAAACCGGTTCTTGTGGGGGCTGTCCGTGGTTATTATGTGGACAAGGTTTAAGTGGTTTAGCCAATCTTTGGTCGGTCGGCGAAGGAGAGAAGGTGGTTTGTATCGGAAATAATGTTTCCGAAAAGGATTTTTCTTACGTTTCTCTAAAGGAACGTATTCGACCTTGTCATGTGCTATCTTATGACGATTATGTTTGTCAACAAAATTAAATTTTGTATTCGGTGTAGATAATTTACCTCTACGTCTTGGCTTGTCCTTTGTTTAGAATCCTTATTAATTAGAATTTCGGAAAGCTTGTTGTGGTTTCTTGGCTTGAACGACTCATCGGACATGCTATCAGTTAAGTTATTTACTGATTTTAAAAGCACACCATTGGGAGGTGTTACAGGCAAGGGGATGTACAATGATCTGTTATTTTCTTTGTTGAAGTCGGCACTTTGTATATTTATGTCTAAATTAGCATTTCCGTTGCTTTGATTGCTTTTTTGTTTAAGGGGCTCATTAATTATAGATTTGGCCGGTGTGTTTTTGTCCAGATTTTGAGATGCAAATTTCAAAAAATCACGTTCGTTTTCGACTTGAATTAACTTCTCCTGAAGATTTGTAACAGCCATGTTCTTCTCTTTTAAAATTACGGAAAACTCTTGGAGAAACGTTTCGAGTCTAAGATCATAAGGTACGCGGCCACTCTCGGGACCTGAAGGTACCAGAATAGCACTCATGGACTCAATAATTGCGCTACTGGAGTCTATGATTGCATTGACAGAGTTCATTTGTGTTTGTAAAGCCGCGACGTCCGATTTAATATCCTTCAAAACCTTACTATCGATTCTGCTTTCACAGCAATAACCATTATACACAGATGAATTGATATGAGTGCTAGTATTGTTGGTAGTTTCTTCTAAATCTCCCGACAAAAGATTAGGTTCAAGGGGTGTTTCGGTTGTTGTATTTAATACTCCGTCCGTGATACCGTCTGCTTGATTTGCAGAGTTTGTTTGTAAAATACGCACCAGAAATTTCTTGAATGATTCGCCTTCTTTACCGTGGAATATCAAAGAGTTTAGCTTTCCCGGATACCAAGTCATAACAAAATCGAGATTCGAGCCATTAACTCGTTCTGCTCTACCGCCGGGCGACTCCCATTAGAGAGTTTGAGCAAGACAACGAAGTCGGACGACGACGACGTGGTTGACAATTTTTGCCTGTCTTGCACATTACCTTAAGCATTCTGAGTTTAGGGTCAGGAGTGAAGACAGATTAGAGATTCATGTCTAGCTGTTTGTGAATGCTGACCTAAATCCTTACCCTGATCAGGATAAAACAGCGAGATATGAATCCATATCCAGTCTTCGTTCTTCTGCCTTCGTTCACAACGAATATTTTGGCAAAATTCGTTGTGAACTTCGTTCTGCACGAAGGCAGAAGGACAAAGACGGGATATAGTTTCATGTCTCGCTGTTTTTTTCTGGATCAGGGCAAGAATTATGGTCAGTATTCATAAACATCAACACATGGGAAGACACGTTGTGCAACCACCAGTGACGTCCAACTCAGTATGAGCAAGATAATGTACAGACGGCAAATATTGTCAAGTATGCCTTCGTCTTCGTACTTCGTTGTCTTGCTCAAACTCTCTATTCACCGCTTAGTCCAGCGACGTTTTTAACAAAATTCTGTAATGATGAAAAGTCTTGAGCCAATTTAATGCGGGTGCCATCATAAGTTAGGTAAGCTTGATTATTTAACAATCTAATGGGCTCTAGATCGATATTCTCCAGGATAAAATTCGTATGACTAAGTGAGCTCGAAATTTCACAGCTGACCTCCATATTGTATTCGTTCCAAGTCACCACCACATCGAAGCTTACACATGGTCTGCAATCGGAAGGAAACAGACTCTCCGAACTAAACAGACTCTCCGAACTAAATGGAAGGTGCCGCGTTCCCGATACGAGCACTTCGTGGGAAGAGCCGAATAGGAGTTCGTTTAGTGTTCAACCACTTTTAATAAGCGCGGTGAAACTACATAAAAATCAGGGCGCTATAAAACACGGGCGTGGAAACGGCAACGATGCCCCTGATCTATGTGTGATGCGCGGACCCCCCAGTAGGTTTTCGAATATTGGAAATTCTCATTCGAATATCAACATTTGAAAAGAAAGACACGGCAAGAGTTTAAAAAATAAGAAACATGGTCATGGCCTAGTTGAAACTCATTTGCAAATGAACACCAAAACGATTTACCTCTGAGATGAACTATATGGAATGAGAGGTTTATGTACTTCAAGTTTATGCTACAGTCAAGAGGGAATATTGTAAAGAAAATGTGGTTTGTCTAGAACAGCCTGAAAAGGTCACTAGGTCAGTGCACTTTTAAAGACATAAAGTGGTTGAAACGAATATTTTTTCTAAAGATACGGTTTTTGCTACGAGTCTATAGCTTGGGACTCTCTTTTAACGTCATAGAGAACTGAAAAAAATACAAGTCGAAATATTTTTTCCGCGCTTCGTGTTTCATGATTAAAAATCGCTGAGTGTTTTATGAGTAAAAATCGCTGACAGTGCCGGTAAAAAAATCATGTTTTAACAAAAAAGCCGGTCTCCTTTTTAAGAAAAACCTATTTTTAATAGCTTTGACAACAACTGTGCAAATTTTTGGGCAAAGTTTTTCATCTAGGAAAAAAGATACAAATAAAAATATTTTTCCGCTGTTTGAGTTTCATGACCAAACATGTCTACATTGACCTCGTCCTTTTGAGTGAGACCATGGCCAATCAAGCCAAACAGTTGTGTTTGTGTGTCTTCTTTATAATAAAAATCGATTTTCAATAACTTTATTAATAACTGTGCAAAATTTTAGGCCAAGTTTTTCACCTAGGAAAGAAGATACAAGTCAAAACATTTTTTCCGCGCTTTGTGTTTCATGAGTAAAAATAGCTGACAGTGCCTTTGTCGTTTCATGTGAGACTATTAATAACTGTGCAAAATTTTAGGCCAAGTTTTTCACCTAGGAAAGAAGATACAAGTCAAAACATTTTTTCCGCGCTTCGTGTTTCATGAGTAAAAATAGCTTACAGTGCTTTTGTCGTTTCATGTGAGACCAGGTTAAAACCAGGTAAAAATCATGTTTTTAAATGAAAGCCGGTTTTCTTTTTAATAAAAATCGATTTTCAATAACTTTATCAACAACTGTGAAAATTTTTAGGCCAAGTTTTTCACCTAGGAAAAAAGATATAAATAAAAATATTTTTCCGCGGTTTGAGTTTCATGGCCAAACATGGCTACATTGACCTTGTCCTTTCGAGTGAGACCATGGCAAAACCAAGCCGAAAAGTTGTATTATAACAAAAAAGCCGGTCTTCGTTTTAATAAAAATCGATTTTCCATAACTATATTAATAACTGTGCAAATTTTCAGGCAAAGTTTTTCACCTAGGAAAAGGGATACAAGTCGAAACATTTTTTCCGCGCTTCCTGCATACTAAATTAATGGCTAACAGTAACAGTCGTTTCATGTACTGTTGCACTTTTCTGTCTTACACCGCAAGACAGTTGCGCTTCGTGGGGACTGTATACTATCAGAACAATACCATCGGAAATAGAACACACACGCGTACTTTAAAACATATTTATTTAAACTATTCAAACGATAAAATATATAACAAACAATCCTTCTGGTTTTCTCTCGTGCTTTCAGTCTGACAATCAATTCGAAGTATATTATTCATGACATACGATACATTTCCTACGTCAATCAACTAAATCACCCATTGTTTGGTCTCCTACGGCGTTATCAATAGTATAATGTTACAAATTATTCTACACACTTCCCTCTTTGAGCCTGTAAGGGTCAAACATGACTTGTGTTCTCCAACGTGCATCCAACGCTGCTGCTCTCCTAGGTCTATTACTATGGACACAGCTTTCCACCTTATCCTTCTCTCCGTCTTTCTCATTCATTTCCGTCTTTCCTTTCTCATTAATTTTCGTCTTTCCTTTCTGGTTATCGTACCCATCCACTACATTTTCAACTTTATTATCCTTTTTTTCTTCCGTACTGCTTCCATTCTCATTTAACTCTACAGGATACAATTTCTGAACTGGTCTATTAAGATATACTGGATTTCCTTTAGTCATCACTCTCACTTTCGCTCCTCGAACCATTTCATCTCTACCGACAATTAAACTCTCAATCCTACTTAACTTCCAAAATCCTCTCTTAAGGTTCTCGTCAAATACTAAAACTACATCTCCCTTCTTCACTTTACTATCCCTCTTCTCCCTCTTACTTCTATGATGCTCTCTTACATTTGTCAAGTATTCTTTTCTCCATATCTCCCAAAAGTGAACTCGCAATTTCGCTAGATGCCTAAACCTACGCTTAACCTTTGTCGCATCAGTCTCTACAATTTTGTAACTAGTCTTGTCTGAACTTAATTCACAGACATAATACACAACTGCACAATAGGCTTTCAAACTAGCATCACCAAACTCATGTAATGAACATTTGGATTTCCATACACACGCCTTGGTATCATAATTTGACCTACAACTTCAAGATCATGAACCCAACCTAACCATTGCTTCAAATATTTTCCCTTTAGTTCAGAATCCCAATCTACTTTGTCCAAACACAGTGCTTGAAACAACATCTTAATACTTACTACCGTTGGGCTAAGAATTCCCAATGGATCAAACCCAGCTAATATTCTAAGAATATTGCGTTTGGTAACAGGTTGCGATTTTGCTTTCTCAACTAAACCCTGAAACAAAAACTGAAGCTCATCAGTTGTACAATTCCAAGCTAACCCAAGAACTTTCTCTGATGTGTCATTCTTGCCTGTCATGCAAAGGGATGACTTAGCAAATGTCCCTTCACATGCCAAGTTTCCTCTATCAGGCTTGATTTCTTCCTTTGATTGGATTTTCTCTAATACAAGTTTACTATTACTGAGCCATTTCCTAAGCTTGAACCTCCCAGAAGCTAAATTGTTACTAGAAGGCTCATATAATGATAATGCATGCTCAGGGGTTTGTTCTCCAGTTCATCATCAACATAAAAGCCGTCCTTCAACTTTCGAGTCAATTCAGGATTACCCTTCGAAAAGCGGGCAAGATGGTGTTGAGTGACATTCAGCAAAAATGGTGAACAGTTCACACCAAAAACAACTCTACAAAATCTATACTCTACTGGCTTCACCTCATTTTCATGTATGTTACCCACCCAAAGGAACCTCAAACAATCTCTGTCACACGGATCAATTTCAATATTTAAAAAAGCCTTCTCTATATCTGCTACAAGCGCTATTCGCTTTTCTCTAAAACGCAATATAATGTGATACAACAACGGGGATAGAGGTGGCCCAACATGCAAGCAGTCATTCAAAGATACACCTTTCTTAGTCTCTTTACTCGATGCATCATACACAACCCTGACCTTAGTGGTCTTTGCATCTTTACGAACCACCGCATGATGTGGTAGATAATGGATCTTATCAGCTCTCTCTAACTCTACAACTGGTTCTATAATACCTAGCTCTAACTGTTCTTTAATTACTCTGTCATACTCTTGTAAAACTTCTGGCTCCTTCTTTAATCTTAAAAGCTGTCCCTTTAATCTCTGCACACTACAGCTATAATTAGTTGGCAATAAACTATGTCCTTCCTTCCAAGGTAAACTTACACTATGTCGTTGGCCATTGAAATGTATTGAATCATTTAATAACTCACTAGCTTCCTCTTCATGCTTTATACCTAACGTTTCATAATCCCATAATTTTTCAACACATGCTTCAAGGGACCTATTCTTAGATGTTACATGCCCAATAAGGTTTACACTTACCTGTGCACACGATGTAGGACCATCATCATCTTCAGAGCTACTCTTCAGTGGACCTGACAACACCCATCCTAATTTGGTTTGTACCGCAACAGGTTCATCACTCTTGCCCCTAACCGTACGCCCTTCTTGAAATAACCACAAATAATCTGCGCCAATTAGTAACTCTATTTCTAACACATTCTTGGTCTTACAAACATCGGAAAACCATAACCCTTGCAAATGTGGGTAATCTTTCTTCCTTGTCTCTACATGCTCATTCCTAATCTGTGAAATGCTGTCTACTCCATAAACTTCAATGCTAACACTCTCTCCCCCTGTACTGGGGCTACACTCAATTCAAACACTTCTCTCAACTTCCCTTCAACTTTCTCCTGTCCGAACGTTCTAATTTCTACCCATTCCCTCCTCTTTACTGGCACTCCTGCCTTCTGAGCTACCTTGCCCGTAACGAATGACCGTTGACTTCCTGAGTCAAACATAACCCGCACTCTCACATTCTCCTTTCCTCCAATCACCAAAGCCTGAGCTGTCTGCAATGCTACTCTATTTGCTGACCCAACGCACGAATGTGTGGAATGAACGACGTCAGCGGTTATAGACCCATTAGCATGGCTCTCACAAATAGAACTATGATGTCGTTTACTGCATGCATTACATTTACTCGTATTTAAACAATTACTACCAATATGTAATTTGTATATGTAATTTGTAATTTGTACTAATATGTAACACCGTCCGTACTTACGAAGTATCTGTTTACGCTCACCAGCATTCTGAATTTTCTTACAATCTTGTGATAAATGTTCTTGTAAACAATATACGCATCTTGGCTTCCCTTCCCTGGTGGTATGATTAACAAGAGCAGCCGCCGATCCATCTAGAAACTGTGATTTCCTTCCTTCTTGTTTTGACGTGTTCGTCGTAGATGACTCGTGTGCTTCGCGTAATTCAATTTCATCTAAAAGTGCCTTTAGAATATCCTTCATCGTCCAATTTAGAAAATCTGATCCACCTGCACTTGACCCACGAGTTATCGTCAAACGAAGGGATTCCGGCAGCTTGTCGAGTATTTCCGGAACAACAATCGTAGCATACGAACTTTCGTCCACTCCCAGGGTTTTCAGACCTCGGCAGTTTGTCTCACAGGCATGGTACAATTCCCGTAGTCGACGCACATCTCGCTCGTTGTATACTGGCTTTATGTTCATTAACGCTTGAATATGAGCTCTCTGTATCGCCATTTTCTTCCCATATCGTGTCTTCAGGAGTTCTAATGCAACTTTATAGTTCGTTGCTGTCAACGTGAACCCTGCGATAGTTGTCTGCGCGGGATCAACCAGTAGACCTTTCAAATACGCGAATTTATCTACCTCTGATAGAGCGTCATTCTGATTTACAGAACTATCAAAGGAGTCCCAAAATTCTTGCCACTCTTGAATTTTCCCATTAAATCTTTTGACCTCTAACTTTGGGAGCTTTGCGCGAACAGTCTGTTTGGGTGTAGCGTTCATACTCAGATTCGATGGTGTACTTTGACCTTGTGGTAGTGACGGCAAGACTTCGAACAATGCGTCATTCACGTCGAGAATTATTTTTTGTAATTCAGCTCGCGTATCATCTGTCTCCTGAATTTCCTTTTCCAGCTGTTGTTCTGCGTCTTCGGCTTCACTATTACTTAGTATCTCGACAATCTCGTTATCTAAAAGTTTCAAGGCTTCGAGTTTCTCGCTCAGCGTGTCTCTCAGCTGTTTCATCACATTCTTGTCCGTTTGAGGCGTTTCACTCGTATTCGCTAAACATTCTTTTATCTTCGTCCCTATCTTCGTTGCTGAACCTCTGTGCGCTGCGCGTGTTCTTCTTTTCTTTGTCAGCTCGTCCAACGGCATTGTCGTATCTATCTATCTCGATTCTTTCTTTCGAAATCTATCCGGTTCGCATGGACCAAGTGTTGCACTTTTCTGTCTTACACCGCAAGACAGTTGCGCTTCGTGGGGACTGTATACTATCAGAACAATACCATCGGAAATAGAACACACACGCGTACTTTAAAACATATTTATTTAAACTATTCAAACGATAAAATATATATACATGACAATCCTTCTGGTTTTCTCTCGTGCTTTCAGTCTGACAATCAATTCGAAGTCTATATTCATGACATACGATACATTTCTTACGTCAATCAATTAAATCACTCATTGTTTGGTCTCCTATACGGCGTTATTAATAGTATAATGTTACAAATTATTCTACAATTCCCATTAGCCTTTCGCGCTCGTATTCGACTTTTCCGCTTTGCTCGTGGACAACCTTGGTTGAAATAGCTGTATACATTACCTCTTATTAAATACATTCTTCATAATCTCATCAACAAAGTTTTCAGGAATTCTAAACAGATATTACATGTTAGTATATAGTGAAGTGAACCATTATTCGGTATAAACCCAAATAATTATATAGTATTAGTATTATTACTTTTTTGTATCGCGGCTGGGTTTCGAACCCGAAGACATAATTTCCAGTCTTCAATCCATCCTGACCGTGTAGCTCAGTTGGTATAAAGCATTGATCTATAGTAATTCGAAGGTCGCGGGTTCGAAACCCAGCCGTGACTGGCAGAGTCAGTTTCTGCTTGCGCAGCCTCGAAATTATGAAATATCTCACTCGAGAACATTTTCTCCTTATATTACCGAGTGAACGATATAAACACTATATATATAAACACTATATATATATATATATATATATATATATATATATATATATATATATATATATATATATATATATATATATATATATATATATATATATATATATATACATGTATAATCATAATCATCACGATATGGCATTTATAATTTTTATATATGTTATATATGTAAGTATTTTTTAGTGAACAGGAAAAGTTGAGACTGAGTCGGATTCGAACCGGCAACCTCTGGGTTACAAGCCCACCGCTCTACCAACTGAGCTATCAGCCCGATGGTATATTCGAACCCAACCAGTCACAACCATTCCTGCACACCCACATGGCCACTCACCAAAGCCATGGGTGAGCAATGGGCTTGTAACCCAGAGGTCGCCGGTTCGAATGGTAGAGCGATGGGCTTGTAACCCAGAGGTTGCCGGTTCGAATCCGACTCAGTCTCAACTTTTCCTGTTCACTAAAAAATACTTACCTACGGTGATTAACATATATAAAAATTATAAATGCCATATCGTGATGATTAACATATATACGGCTGAAGAAGACATGTTACTGTCGAAATGGTATACAAATTTGGCATGGCTTTGGTGAGTGGCCATGTGGGTGTGCAGGAATGGTTGTGACTGGTTGGGTTCGAATATACCATCGGGCTGACACAAAATAGAAGGGGTGAAGCAAAATTTTGGTGGGGTTGAACACTTTATTAGAGGGGTTAGAGAGATTCTAGGGGGGTTAACTCCCTAATCCCCCAGTAAATCCACCCATGTTTTCATGTGAACATAGACCCCTCCTGAGCCCCTAGCTCTTATCAGTATATATATGATAAGGGCCACTGTGAGGAGGTTTAAGTGGGGAGGGAGGGGGTGGGAGGGTAAGTATTACATTTGCCAACCAAAAATTTTTTGCCAGAAATTGCCGACAAATTCATAATTTTCCATCAACTGGTTTTCAGGGGGTGTCACACCCCCCTTAGCTACGGTCCTGATGTTGACAGTTTTTTAGAAAACAATGCAATTATTATGTTGACTTTTTCCTGAGTACATTTGAATATGACCGTCGTTTACACAATCCAAAACTTAAAATGATTCAAAATGATAATTTTGAAACTATAATAACTTACTTGTACGAAAGCAATTCGGCTTTGTATGACTCTTGTTTTAGTGATGTTAATGTGTGTCTCATTGTTGCTTTCATTATTGTATATAATCCAGAGAATATCTGTACAATTAACTCTTCTGAAAGATTTTTATCCTTTAAACTACGAAGTGAGTCTGGATCAACATCATAATTCTCAAGAGAATGTTGTACAACTAAATAAAACAAAGTTTAACCCATTGAGTGGCAGCACTCCCCACTTGACAAGTAAAATAATAACAATATAATAATAACAATAATAACAATAACAACAATAACAATATAAGACAAGTAAAAAACATCACATTTCTCGGAATTGTTCTTGACCAATTTCTGACATGGAGTAATCACTTGGATTTGATTACGAAAAAAAATTATCAAATGTGCGGCAATTATTTCCAGGATTCGACATTTCACAAACCTAAATTCCTTAAAGCTAATATATTATGCTTTGGTCTATCCATATCTAACTTATGGTAATTTACTCTGGGGTAACACCTATAAATCACGTTTTCAAAAGTTAGTGAATGTTCAAAAAAAGATTGTCAGATTAATGACTTTCAAATCTTATTTTGATCATTCAGAACCAATTTTTAATTCCTTACAAATACTCAATTTACATAAAATAAATTATTATTTAACGAGTATATTCATGTTCCGGTATTTTCATCTCAGAATCTACCAGAATTATTCATAAACTATTTTTTGACAAATAAGCAAATTCATAATCATAACACAAGAAATTCTTCGTTGCTACACAAGAGGAGTAATAGAACAAACTATACCAAACATACCCTTGCCAATAAAGGCATAGATGTGTGGAATAATCTTCCCACAAAAAATAAAGAACCTAGGTCTTATGCTTCCTTCAAATCAATAATTAAAAAGTACTTTTTACAACTAGATTTAACAATATAACATGTTTCTGTAAATATAATTATATATATTCATATGTATTATATAATTCTTCTTTTCCTTACTAATTCTCTGAAAAACACTCGAACTGACACGAGCTTATATTTATTGATATAGCTTAAATAATTAACCTAGGGGCCTAAAAAAAAAGCCATGTGGTTTCTAGTAGGCTCCTAGCCCATTTCTTATATATATATCTATTCCTTGTAAATGTAGTATTTTGGGCAAAAAATATTAAAAAAAAATCATTTGGCATTAGACAGAGTAAAATCCTAAAGTAGGGTGCATCAGGGTGCATGGCCACTTAAGAGTTAATATAGCTAAATAATAAATTAACATCCAACTAAAGGATCATGCTCTGTTGTTCATATCAATTTCCCTAACATTAAGTTTGTAACACTTCTGCTGCTTCACTAACAACATGTGCTAGAAATGGATATGGGTGCATTTAGGGTCCTAGACTGTTGTGGCAATGGAAGAGTTTAGATCAACAAAATCTTGATATTTACTCATAACCTATATGATTAGAGCTTGACAACTGCCAAAATTGTAGGCGCCGGGGGTTCGAGATCAATTCCTGCCAGGGAACTAAAGTTGCATTTTTCTAATTTGTTCCTGGTTAGGTGTAATAAATGTATATAAATTTCCACTCGATAATTTCCATCTACAATACCCTTCAACTATTATTCAATTGAGTGAGATGCTGACAAAATCTTGTGTATAATTATTTTATATAAACATACCATATACAGGGTGAACAAAATCCATACAGGGCGATCGAACAAAATCATTGGTTGAATAAGTCAAACAACAGGAGAAACAACATCATTTGCTTGATTGTGTTTAAAATGAATAGATATTTTCACAGCGTTTTAGAGAAATAACAAGAAAATGTGTTCGCTTGTTTATATTAATTTGCATAAATTATATATTACTTAATTACTGTTTTCCCTCTTTCATGCTGACAATATGTCAGACTCTGTGTTTTCCACATTTTTATGTCTGACTCCGTGTTTAATTTCCATATTTTAAAGATAATGTCCACTCCTGTGCACATGCGTGAACTTTGTTTACGTTTTGAACTGAGCACTATATTTGTAAAATATGATATACTAACTGAATATCTAATATTTTCTGGTTCGCTATGCTTGTAAATTAATATAAGCTCTACGTTTCAATTTAAAAAGTTTGAAAGATGTGGAATTTGGGCAATGTTTATATCTGGGCCACCCTTTGTTATGAGCAGAACTGAGTGGAAATCATCTTTAAGGTGGACTCTCTGTTTTCCATGGCTCCGTGTTTTCCATATTTTTCTCTGAAGTCAGACTCTGTGTTTTCCATATTTCCCGTCTTTTCCATGTTATCCATCTTCATGGGTGCCTGGCATATTTGCATAATATGAAGTTTCAAGTTTCTGATTGGCTCATCGCAACTCTCCTGAGTCTTCTCCCTCATTGGACCAATTTGTTTGCCGCATCTGACTCGTTCGCAGAGTGTTTTTTTTTTCACCGCAAAGGTTGAATTGAAAATTTGAATTTTATACAAGTATACATTCGGGTAAACAAGGCCATGAGTACAGTATGTTGTCCAATTTTCGGACAGTAAAGTGTTTTCACACTATATTTTGCGATTTAAGATGGTTAGCAGGTTCAAATTTGTACAGATGACGACCACTTCCCATGGCTACATTACTCTAAGAGATACATCGCTAAAATTCTTTATTTTTTCTGCAATATCGAAAACAAGTACTTCATTTTCATCACCACATTTCGGACAGCTGGTCCGCTATTCGGACACTTATAATAATAGCCGTTTTTCTCTCGAAGGTAAGCTGTATTTTGATAAATACTGGAATTTAAGGCTTGATTATGTTATAGAAATAAATGTCATGATTCTTTGAACCATATTCTAGTATGAAATTTCAGTCAGGTTACTCGCAACTAAAGCTCACTTTAAGATATATACAATTCCCGGTGGATAGATTCACATAATAATATCAGAACTCGCATTGAACTAAAGGCCGGATTCCACGAGGCGGAATTTTTCGACCGAAACGAAATTTCTCTTTGTCTTTTTACAATTAGTTCTGCTCGAGAGCTCTGAAACAACGAGAAATTTCGATTCGGTCGAAAAATTTCGCCTAGTGGAAAACCGCCTTAAAGTCAACAAAATTATCGAAATCGAAAGTTTATCAAAACATAAACAACTTGTACACTCTTTAAACATTTCAAATATATAATTATGTTAAATATACTCGTTATTTTAGTCATAAGATTGTCAACTCTAAGCCATCGTCCGAGTATTGATAAGCTCCTCAAAAATTGTTTCTTAATTTAAAAGTCCGAAACTTCTTAAATTTTATGACAGTAGCAAAAATTATTGTTGTGGTAAAATTTTCGGTTTATATAACCATCCCTTCAACTAAAAAATAATCATTCGGCAGTATATTTTCACAAAACATCTCCTGAAGTGTACTTGTCTTATCGCGCTGTCGTGAACTAGCGGTCCTACTAATTACTGCCCGAGACTGTCCGGGACTGCCCGAGACTGCCCGGGGACTGCCCGGGTAAACATAACGTTATTTATTATATGGTAAGGCAGTGTGCTCTTGTTTTAAATCACTAAGTACATGTATAAAAAGGTTTTTTTCAAAACATTTGGCTGCACGCTAGGACAAATGGCAAAATTTGCACGGTGCTCGTTTGCAAAAACAACTGCAAACTGCTCTAATTCTTTCTGTTTCTTTGCATTTGCATTTGATCTCATTTGTGAGTCGGCCTCAACGGTCTTTAACTTTTCTCCAAAAAATCATATGCGAGCTAGGTTATGTGCATAATATGCCCGACATATCAAATAATGTAATTTGCATTTATTTCGAAGAGACAATTAGCAAAATCGAGCGTATCTAAAAGTTGTTTCATTAATTAGCAAAACACGCAAACATGTTTAAATAACTGTACGGTTCATAGCCAACCAGCGTTGAGAATTGACAAATCATATTTTACAATGTTTATTATAATAAAGCCGGTTACCGACGAGCAACTTGTCTATGACAAGTTTTTATACGCAAGTTGCAAGCAACGTAGCTTTGTTTTGAAGAAAACTTTTATACATGTACTAAGCGTTTTAAAACAAGAGCACACTACCTTACCATACTGTATAATAAATAACGTTATGTTACGGTGTTTACCCGGGCAGTCAATCTCGGGCAGTCCCCGGGCAGTCTCGGGCAGTTCCCGGGCAGTCTCGGGCAGTAATTAGTAGGACCCTGAACTAGCTACGCCATTTTTAAGAAAATATTTTCGACTGACCTTTACTCGAAGTGTTCACGTTTGCACAAAACAACAGCAAAAACGTCGAAAATATAGAGCAAAATTCAGGACATATCGGGCAATCATCTGAACGTATTGATTTTTATTTTTTTGCTATTCTTCATAAAACAATTTGGCGATAAATATATTTCGTCCGAATAGTGGTACTGTCCGAAAATTGGACAACATACTGTATATGCTATTTAAAACAAGTAACTGACTACTGATCCAGTGAGCCTAGTATAGAACGTATTTACCCTCTAACAGCTTCTTAAACTTTTCCAACTTTAAGTTTCCAAGATAAGACACCATTCTCCGTACTTCTGTAGGAATTTTTGATCCATGAAAAAGAATGCTATCTCCTTGAAATGCCGGATTTGAACTCAAAGTTCCTGTTCGGTCACGCGCAGCCATTTTGTTGGCTTTTTGTATTTTGTGAGTACTTCATGAAAAATGAATGAAATGGCCTGTCTTTGTGAAAACGCAGCGCTAGGGCCGGGTTGATCCCCCTCTCACCCGAATATGGCATGTACTAAAAGGCGAAACGTCGAAACGAAACGACCGAAACGAAACGGCCGAAACCATCGAAACGACCGAAACGACCGAAACGAAACAACCGAAACGAAACAACCGAAACGAAACGACCGAAACGAAACGACCGAAACGAAACGACCGAAACGAAACGGCCGGAAATGTAAATGCGGATACGGACGGACGGACGGGGGGAAGAGGCGGATGGACGGGGAAAACAGGCGGATGGACGGGAGGACAGGCAGATGGACGGGGGTGGGGGACGGCTTCATTTGACGCGAAACTCAATTTTAAAATCAAATCCGCGTTTTGTTGCAAGGGATATATTAGGATATATTATAAAAGACTATTATTAATCGTAATAAATTGTCCGCGAAAAGTTGATAAAATACATGTGGAAATGTAATTGTTTTTGTTTGTGGAAACACCACGTAAATTTATTACTGCAAAGCTTTCGATCCGTAAGCCCGGATCTTCATCAGTGCTAATAATGTGTGGAAATGCTGGGTTTTTCAAACCTTCGTAACGCTTGATATAAGGATAAAACGCGGATATGCTGCAACTTTCATGCTTAATTTTCTCAGTCATCTGGGTATGTAGTAATCTAATTTTATGCAATGTAATATGCTATTTTTTCAAGCGCTTTTCAATGCAGTTATCGGTTTAAATATAACTCAAATTCCCGCTAAGATATGACAATTGCCGTACGGCCTACTTTTACGCAAACGCAAATTACAACTGCAAATTTCATGCTTAATTTTCTCTGTTATCCGGGCATGTAGTAATGTAATTTTATGCCAATGTAATGTGCTGATGAAATTTGCAGTTGTAATTTGCGTTTGCGTAAAAGTAGTCCGTACGGCAATTGTCATATCTTAACGGAAATTTGAGTTATATTTAAACCGATAACTGCATTGAAAAGCCCTTGAAAAATAGCACCTTACATTGGCATAAAATTACATTACTACATGCGCAGATAACAGAGAAAATTAAGCATGAAATTTGCAGTTGTAATTTGCGTTTGCGTAAAAGTAGGCCGTACGGCAATTGTCATATCTCTTAACGGGAATTTTAGGTATATTTAAACCGATAACTGCATTGAAAAGCGCTTGAAAAATAGCACATTACATTGCATAAAATCAGATTACTACATACCCAGATGACTGAGAATATTAAGCATGAAAGTTGCAACATATCCGCGTTTTATCCTTATATCAAGCGTTACGAAGGTTCGAAAAACCCCGCATTTCCACATGTATTTTATCAACTTTTCGCGGACAATTTATTATGATTAATAATAGTCTTTTATAATATATCCTAATATATCCCTTTCAACAAAACGCGGATTTGATTTTAAAATTGAGTTTCGTGTCAAATGAAGCCGTCCCCCCCGTCCAGCCGTCCTCCCCGTCCATCCATCTGTCGCCCCCCCCCGTCTATCCGCCTCTTCCCCCGTCCATCCGCCTCTTCCCCCGTCCATCCGCCTCTTTCCCCGTCCATCCGCCTGTTTTCCCCGCCCATCCGCCTGTCCCCCCCGTCCGTCCGTCCGTCCGTATCCGCATTTTTCGATTTTCCTGTAATTTACATTTTCGGCCGTTTCGTTTCGGCGGTTTCGTTTCGGTCGTTTCGTTTCGGTTGTTTCGTTTCGGTTGTTTCGTTTCGGTCGTTTCGGTCGTTTCGGTGGTTTCGGCCGTTTCGTTTCGGTCGTTTCGTTTCGACGTTTCGCCTTTTAGTACATGCCGTTTACAACTGCCAGGCGTGCCAGGCGGTGTCAAAGCTTAGGGGAAACCCCTACAGACATTCCTGAAATAACATGGCGAACTATACGATCGGAAAAATCAAAATAGAACAAGAAATTGGCAAGTTTCTCGTCGTACAATTTCAATCAATGGCCATAACGCGTGCTATGATCACTGTCGATATTGTGCAGTTTTTCAAAGCGATTTGGAACAGGTTAGAGCACAAAATAAGGCACTTATTTTACGTGCAAAATGAAGACTAACATGTAAACATCATATACAGATTTGTGGGGGTAAAGCAAACTATTGTGCAAAAGCGCAAGAAGCGCGTGTTTGCATCAAGTTTACGATAATTTTGCATGAATGATGAAGCTAGTATGGGGGGTTTCTAATTTCGTAGTCTAATGCAAACGTGAAAATGGAACAATGTTGCTCTAGTCATGTATAATAATATTATAATTTTTTTTGAAAGAATACCAAATAAACTGTAGTTTAAGATTTGTGGGACGTTAATTTTCTTAATACATTTCGTTAAATCGGTAAACATAGTTGAGGAGCACAGAAACCTTATACTATTTACTAGTAGGATTTTATGTCAGCCAAATTTTCTATTACTCGAATTTGATACGATGCGCGTGCGCGGCGGCCATGCTGTCTCAGATTTCTGGCCATGTGTTTTCATTCACAATAACATCTTAACTGATCCATGTTTCCGTTTAAATGACGTTTTAAATTTGTAATATTTTAGATCTCTTCGAATTGTTCTCCAGAAGCAAAAATGCGATTTGTGCGAGATATTATGGAGCAGCGTTTCAGGTGAGGAGCAGAAAGAGCAATCGGATGTTGATGATAGTCCCCATTTTGATAGGTTCTTTCGTGTTGGAAGTGTGTTATTGATATATCGGATGGTGAAGTTAAAAATGTTTTTCGGAAGTTTGCTAATAATAATAATAATAATAATAATAATAATAATAATAATAATAATAATAATAATAATAATAATGGAAACTTTTTATTAGATATTTACAATATACTATATATACATTGATAAACCTCACTTAATAAAAGGTAGCTTATCGATGTCCACTTGAATTGAGTTTAAAGCTAAAATATACATACAGGTGAAAATCTTTTAAATTTAGTTAAAAGTTTAAAAGTTCTGGGTTGTTCCAGTCTTTGTTTCGTCTACAGAATATATAATAAGACGTGCGAATACAAGTAGCAATTATTTTCTTTTTTACGTATTTAATACATTGTTCGTCGTACTTCAGATCATGGAGCATATCAAATAAAGTACTACATCCTCATGTGTTTCAGATAATGATATTTGCATCTCAACGTACTTAACACGAACCATCACAAACATATGCTTTGAATTAACTTCGTGAGACATTCGGAAAAACGTCATTTTATCTGCAAATATGATCCACTCATATAGAAAAATATACAATGTTTTGAAACAGCATACCGCTTTCTTGTCACGTGACGCAAATAAATTGAGAACAATGACATATTCTGTGACGTCAGCAGCTAGCCCAACCATAAAAAGCAAATGATATGTGACATCGCATCCAGGCTAATGTGGTATTGTAAGGAGATTTCCGTTTGATGGCCAAAAGTTCCGCTAATCTTTTATAAACCACTGTTGTTTCTCCGCTGGCACCTCCTGTTATAATAATAATAATAATAATAATAATAATAATAACAATAATAATAATAATAATAATAATAATAATAATAATAATAATAACAATAATAATAATAATGATAATAATAATAATGATAATGATAATGATAATGATAATGATAATGATAATGATAATGATAATAATAATAATAATATACTATATATACATTGATAAACCTCACTTAATAAAAGGTAGCTTATCGATGTCCACTTGAATTGAGTTTAAAGCTAAAATATATATACATGTGAAAATCTTTTAAATTTAAAGCTAAAATATATATACAGGTGAAAATCTTTTAAATTTAGTTAAAAGTTTAAAAGTTCTGGGTTGTTCCAGTCTTTGTTTCGTCTACAGAATATATAATAAGACGTGCGAATACAAGTAGCAATTATTTTCTTTTTTACATATTTAATAAATTGTTCGTCGTACTTCAGATCATGGAGCATATCAAATAAAGTATTCGTCGATTCACCAAATACACCTAAAGAGCTTATAGATGCATTAACAAACTTAACTTCATCATATATATTTTCTTGATCGGTAATTAGAGTCAAATATTTTTCATGTTTTCGATCTGAGTTAGTTTTAAGATTTGTTTCGAATCCAACAGTTAATTCTAGAATATACAAAATCTTATTTTCAATTGTCAATAGAACGTCTGGTCGTAACTCGTCACCAGTGATGACAGATGGGCTAATAAATCCAGGCAGATCTACATACATTTTGGACCTTCCGACGTCGAGAAGGCTGGACGCAATGAGATTCAAAACTGAATCATGTCGCCATGTATATCTCCCTTCGTTTAGATATGTCTTACATCCAGAGATTATGTGCAAAAGCGATTCAGGGCAGAAGCAGAACGAACAGTCAGCAGATGATGACAGTCCCCATTTAACTAGGTTTTTCCTAGTAGGCAAAGAATTGTTGATGTAACGTAGACTGAAGTTAAATATGTTCTTAGATAATAATAATAATCTAAATGTTTGTTAATATGTACAGCCGCCTTGCATAACTACTCCGCCTTGCATAACTACATGTATTTTAATATTGATTATTACATTCGTAATACCTGTTGTAATACCCTGTTGTAATTACCTTGTTGTTATATATTTTTGCGTTGGGATTTCCGTAAAATATATCGCGGGTAAGGCATCAGCACTAGCTCTGTGCATTTCTTATATTATTATGTTGCATTCATGCTGTTTTCATCCAGAAATCAACACCACCGTTAATGGTATTCTACTACGGGGAGAAAAAACCCAGCACAATTCTCTATGACCTTGCATATACTAATTAAAATGAAATTACAATGCATTTTCGGCAAGCGGCTGAAACTCTAGCTGGAATTTACCGTGTACTAAGTCTATGAATTGTGTCTCCGAAATAACGAATTATGTTAGGGCAATGAAACAGTCCGCATTTTATCCTTTTTGTCCGCATTCGCATTTTAACCCTTTCGTTCGTCCGTCCGTCCGACCGTCCGTCCGCGTCCGTCCGTCCGTCCGCATGTCCGTCCGTCCGTCCGTCCGCGTGTCCGTCCGTCCGTCCGTCCGTCCGTCCGTCCGCGTGTCCGTCCGTCTGTCCGCGTGTCCGTCCGTCCGCATCCGCGTTTTATCCCAACCCACATGAAGTACGTGTAACTCATGATACGTTGCGTCATATTTATGTAGACGTAATATATATCCCCAAGGTTGGCAAGAAAATACAAATTTAAAACTATATACAAAAACTTAATGACTTTGAATTGAATTGAATTTATTACAAAATCTGAATGGCAGCTAAGAGCTGAATTGTACATATTTGACATTTAAAATACATGGTAAAACTAATACATATAGTAATATACGGTATACTAAAACTAAAATATATATTACAATTAAAATGAATCATTATATGATACGATACTAGAAGGAATAAAACTTTTACTAAATCTTGTAGTCTTACAATTAATTAAGTTAATATGCTGATCGTTACGTAGATTGTAAGTACGTAAGTCCTCGCGTTTATTAGGGATAAGTTCATTCAATTTATTTTCCGGGTTGAGAAGTTTCTTAAAATAGGATTTACATAAATTATTTCGTCTTTGAGAGAGCAACGATATTTCATGAACTTCCAAGGCTTTGCGGTATGACAGGTCAGGACATATTATTCGTAGGGCTCGCTTCTAAATTCTTTCGATTTCTTCCTTTAAATAGTCAGGGGAGTTTAAGTTCCAAACCTGGCATGCATATTCAAGCACAGGTCGTATACATGTGGTATAGACTTGAATTAGAGAACTCCCTCCAAGACCGCTCCGTTTAAGCACTCGGAGAAAAAAAAGTCTCTTTGATGCCTTGTATACTATGTGTTCAACATGTAAGTTCCAACTAAGATCAGAAGAAAAGTACAGACCAAGAACCTTTGCTGATAAAACTGGGGACATACAGTGATCTTTAATAAACAATGGACGAAAAAACTCATACATAAACATCTCTATGGTAAAACTCTCTATGGTAAGACATAACTTTAATACTTCTACATTCTGTTTTTTTGTTCTCTCGTCGCTTTAAAACGAGTTAATTTTGCGAAAATGTATCAAATTTGTGCCCAATTTGGTCAAAACTATGCGGGATGATGGTTCCCGGCGTTACGTCACAAAATAAAGCTCTCTGATTTGCTGAAGATTTTTAAAATTTCAAAAAGACTCTCTGATTGGCAGGCTGAAATTTCCCAGCGAATCACGGAGCTTTATTTTGTGACGTAATGCCGGGAGCCATCATCCCGCAATAGTTTTGATCAAATTGAGTTACGAATTTGATGAATTTTCCTCGGAATTTTCGCAAAATTGACTCGTTTTAAAGCGATGAGAGAACAAAAATACACAATGTAGAAGTATTAAAGTTATGTCTTACCATAGTGAGTTAGTTTTTTAAATGAATTTCGATGTTTATGTACGAGTTTTTTCGTCATTAAGTTTTTGTAGTTTTAAATTTGTATTTTCGTGCTAACCTTGGGGATATATATTACATAATGACGCAACGTATTGTGATGTAAAGTGAATTTCGATGTTTATGTACGAGTTTTTTCGTCATTAAGTTTTTGTAGTTTTAAATTTGTATTTTCTTGCTAACCTTGGGGATATATAGTAAATATGACGCAACGTATTGTGATGTTACACGTACTTCATGTAATACAAATTATAGAGGTTTTACTGTACATTGAAGCATTGCATGTCAAAGCATTGCATTTTAAAGCAAATTGTATGGATTTTTTTATAAATTAAACAATAACTATGTAATATATATTTTAAGCAGTCAAAACATAGCAGGCAATATATTTGCTCAGCCTAGTCCCAGTTGTTCTGAAGCAAGCGCGAGAAAAAAACGTGGATGTACTACGAGACTGGGACCTAGGTGTGACGTCACCGCTAAAGGTGCTACAGAACGTCTAGCAGATTTCAGTATTTTTAATATGGCGGAAAATTTATATATACAAATAACCTTGCAAATACGACAATGTTCGTTGATTATGTTCGATGTCTACATAACCAAATTCAAACTGTATTAAAAACAGTGCTGTTTACTAGATTTTAAATGTAAAAGTTGATAGCCATGGTACAATAGTAAGTTACACTTGTCACACAAGGTGATTTAGCTAATGAGGAAAAGTTCCTGACTTCATTGCATTCATAAATTTCACTGTCAAAATGTAAAGACTCTGTAAAGGCCATTTCCGACGTTATAGGACTTCATATTTTCAAAAACTTTTGTTCGGCTCATGAACGACATAAAATCGTTTGATTTTGATCATTATTATACAAAAGTGATTCCCCGGCCTCTGGCATTAATTTTACTATAACTGGTTAAAATTAAGCGAAGATTGCTTAAACATTGCTTAAAAATAGTGATAAATTCCAATTCATGTGAATAACGCACAAATGTCGAAGCGCAGTTCTGGTGAAAAAGGCCCGTGCCGCCCCCGCACTGTTTCAGCAACGCCCCTGCACATTAGAGTTGATAAACAACATTTTTACAAACATTTTCAAATGGTAGTAAAAGAATGCCCTACATAAATGTTTTTGTTTAGAAATTGATACAGGAATGATGAATAAATGTACTGGATATTGGCTGGATAATTTTGTCAGAACTTGCAAGACAGTCTTACCTAAATTCATTAGTATGGAAAATAACTGCTACAATAATCATATATTATATGAATGGTGATCCATTAATGGCACACAATATGTACAATTTTTAACTAAACTTGTGATACCTTCTACTCAAACCAATATTCTCCCGCAACACAAATTGTTTTTGTGTGGATATGCTGTGTTAAACCGAACAGTGTCGCATATCATTAACTGTGCACATGATTGGAATTGAATTATATACTTCACTCATGACCTTCACTGACATTCTCTACTATTCAGTGGTCTTCAATATGTGATTGACTCATTGCTAGAGTATTGCACGTTCCTCAATTAGTTTGTGTATGTTACTCAATAGTTAACAGTTGCCCCTGCTGCCCTACGCGCTGTGTACAGCCCTGTTAGATGTGTATTATGTTTGATTTTAAAATTTTGCTAATATATTATAATAAGTGATGAAAAATTTCAATTGTCCCATGTCATCTTCATTATTCAGTTCCTTTAAAGAAAATACAAAATGTGAATCAAGTTTTTTCGCAGATACATGCATGTACGCGTCGCGTACCTTTTCTGTATCTGCGAAGCAGATATACATGCTATCGCAAACGTGCCGTGACCGTACCGTACCGTATGTTAACACATAGTTAACGTATGTTAACACATCCAGCGACGAGCTTATATAATTTAAGCCAATCAGCGATTATGTTACATAGTTGTTTGTGATGTTACTCTGAGTATGCATCCACACCGGGCAAGCTGAAAAGTTTGCTTGGCCACGGTGGGAATCGAACCTGCGACCTTTGGGATACTAGTCCAATGCTCTGCCAACTGAGCTACGTGATCAAGTCGGTTCGAGCTGATAATATTTCGGAACTGAATCTAGTTCCTTCGATATCAGTGTAATCTATGATATGATTTTTGTGTGTGCGACATTGTCATTTTGCTTTCTATAAACATAAATGTTTTTGTTTAGAGATTAATACTAGAAATACATGCATGCATCAAAACTTCACAAATGTTATAAAAGAACAGATTATGTAGAACACATTCTCTCAAATAAAGGAGTTGACGTATGGAATTCATTAGAAACAAAATTTATAGATATAAATTTCTACAGCACTTTCAAAAAGCAAATTAAACAACATTTTTTGCTATACAATATATAAGACATGCTATAAAACATTTAACAATTATTCGCCGAAGGCGAGGTGATTATCGGGGAATATTCGCCGAGACGAAGTCGAGGTGAATATTCCCCGATAATCACCTCGCCTTCGGCGAATAATTGTTTTAGTATTTTTACACAAGTCTTTTGTGGGTTTTTTTAGCTGAACTTATTTTAATTTCGCTTATTTCTTTATCAGTTACTTCCACAAAACGGCTAAGCCCCCTCTAATCAATTTCCGTTTAATAATCCCCTCTAATATTCACCTGCAATTAATAATCCCCTCTAATATTCACCTGCAATTAATAATCCCCTCTAATATTCACCTGCAATGTCTTTGCAGCACAAAAAATGAGAAAAAAACAACGTAACGAAGGCAATATGGCATTAAGAATTATTTCTATTCTTACTCATTAATGCGACCTCACAGTGTGAAAAATAAGTACGTTATTTTGAGGCACCTCGGGGATATGTGTTTATTCACATAAATAAATGAATAAATCATATATCCCCTCGTTGCCTCAAAATAACCTATACTTAATACGTCAAATTTGACCAATCAACTTGCAGGATTTGTTATATTCACTTGTGCAAAAATACTAATCTGGCATATTGACAAAATTAATAGTATATTGTAGTCCGAATTCTTATAAGAACCCAAATGCATCTGCAACATTGGTATTCACTTCTATAATAAGAACAATTTCTCTTCTTTTTCTCTCTTGTAAATATATATATATATATATATATATATATATATATATATATATATATATATATATATATATATATATATATATATATATATATATATTTATTTAATCTTAAAAATTGTACATGTTGCTACTCAGAGTTTCATGCAATTTTGCAATCTTCAGGCAACTGTTATTACAAGTTCAGTTCTGTTTGTTGACGCTACTCACTAACGGTTTGCTGACGCGCGTGCGTTCGTTTGTCGCGCACGCTCTCAAATTTTCCCGCGTGAAATTTCTCTGCGTGGCGGCACTTCGCAAATATTTCTGATCTTCGATTAAGAGCTTTATTTGCCTTTAAAAGGCACAGTTTTTCTTCGGTGCACAAGCTGCAGTGCTTTCCACCTGCCGAATACGACGGAGCTCGTTTCAAGATTGACCACTTGATTCCGTAATCTTTCCCAGCGTTCTTTAATTTCCATACGTATTTCGAAAGTTCTGTGTCAAATTCGTATCTTTTGTGCTCGAACGATTTTATGTGGTTTCGATATCTAACTTTGAAATCGTTTGCCGTCATTCCGATGTATTCTTTCGTTTCGCGCTCTTCCTTTGTTTTTATTTCTGCCTTGTAGACTACACCTTTCGTTAAACACTTTTTCTGGAGTGGGCATTCACTAGGGATTCGGCAATCACACAATTTGCTTGGGCTTTCGGTTGGCTCAGCTTTCGCCAGGACGCGCTTGTTGTGTCTGGAAATACAATTTTTAACATTTTCCATGCAACTGTAGCTGACCTTGATAGAGTTACGGTTGAAGATCTTGTGAAGGGGGTTTGCTTTCGGAAAGTGCTTGTCAAGTAATCTTAGAAAGTCCCGAGCAATGTTTGAACGAACATTTTTGCTAAAAGGAGGATTGAACCAGATGATGTTTCTTTGACGTTTCCGTTTCTGGGTTGTAGTTGGTGGAGGATTATCAGGGGAATATTCAAGCTTGCCGTTGTAATTACTCTTGTGCAGAGCTTGTTCATATACGTTGGCCACAGAGTCAAAGGCTAGTTCACTTGATGATAGAGACGAGATTCTTCGGTTAATCGATGCCGGTAGATGTTTAGTAATGGAGGGTGGATGATTTGAGCGTTTGTCTATATATAATGGATTATTGTCTGGTTTCCTGTATGGTGAGTAACTCCCGTCTTTAAGATTAAAGGTTACATCCAGGAAGTTTACCAGTTGATGATTTACTTCGGCTGTGATTCTCAAACCGAATTGAAGAAATTGGGCACAAAGGTCTTTCTTTGCTTTGTCTGCTAATCTACCGCTGGTGCTTTGAATTAGTGCCAAACCATCATCACGGTACAATCCGATGTTTTCTTTACCAAATTTCTTAGCGAGTGTATTTAATGCAATATATATATATTATATATATATATATTCCTTTAATATTGTGATTGATTGATTTATTACACAATATAATCCAAACTAGAATAACTAGAGACCTAAATAATAAAAAGTCTACGAAGATTTCTAGTAGGTCTCTAGCCCGCACTCTACAATTATTGTAAATATATACTACACATAAATTTATTGTACATGGGGAAAATTTTTAAAAATGCAGCAACCCCTTGCATGTATTTTCCAAACATTGATTTAACATGAAGTATTAGTAATTGATCAACACTGAATGCAGGCTCGCGTTACGTCACTGTTGCCATGACAACACGATATAATTAAATTATAAATTTAATTCCCCGAGCCAACGGCGCGTAGCGCCGTTCCGGGCGTAAGCCCGGGGCGATGGTACTAATTCCGCACGGCTATTTACACCCGGGGAAAGGAAGGCATTATGACGAGACAGACGGCTTCAGGTTCGCAGCTCCAGGTTCGCGAACCTGGAGCTAGCTCCAGGTTCGATTTCAACCAAGACAGCATGTAGAAGTGAAGGAAATTCAAGACAGCATGTAGAAGTGAAGGAAACTTCTCCACATCATGTTTTCCGTATTGACACTATAGAACCTAGCACTTCCCTAACTTGTTACGAGCGTTTAGAAAGAAAGAAAGCAAGAAAATTCACGTAAAAAATCGTCACCATACTGGCGTGGTCATGCCATTTGCAAATACCAAGATGTTGAAGTGCATTTAAGAATTGCTGACAAAGAAGAAGGAGTGTTAGAGATAAACTTTTCCGGAGATGTGGAGCATGATGTTACGCAACCTAAGGCGAAAAGAATAACTGGAAAGCCACGACAAAAACTCATATCTGAAGTATGGAAACATGGGCGTACCGGAAGGAAAAATTTAGGGGGGCGGAAAGAAAATTGCCCGACTTTTCGCGATTGTGCCCGACTAGTACTGAAAATTTTTTTCCGGAAAAATTATTTTGCCGACCTCCCCCCCCGTCGCCAAAAAAAATTCGGTCAGTGTACCATTTTAAGGGTCAAAAAAATTTTCCGGACACCAAAATTTTTCGGAACATAACACTAATTTTCGAAAAAACACAAAATTGGCCACAAAATTTACTTAATTTTACACAAAATTTACAGAATTTGTCCCATTTTTTTTAATTGCAAAGCAAAATTGCCCGACTGTTGATTGAATATTGCCCGACTGCCCAACAAACTGGGGGGGGCTACCGCCCCCCCCCCCGTCCGGTACGCCGATGTATGGAAAACAAACAACAATCCTTCGAAATTGCATCGTGAGGGCTTATTAAATATCGATTCTGATGCCTTTTCTGCCGGTATAAGGACTGGAGCTGGTATCACTCATGGAACGATGAAAGGAATTAAATCAGAATCAAAGAAGAAACACCAGTCTTGTAAAAATTTGGCCAAAAGTCTGTGTGAATTAGAAGCTTCAATGAAGCTGAAGGACGAAGATGCCGCGATCGAACTTGGCGACACATGGAGGAAATTTTTTGGGTATATTCAATTATGCAATGTAACACCAGAACTAAATATTGTGTTATTTAACGAGGCATCGGTCCGCATTTTCCACGACTTATCGAAACACGACATAATATACATTGACGCTACCGGAAAGTTATTCGCCGACGAATTGAACCACCCGCGTCTTCTTTATTTTGCTATGGTGTTACGAAACCCTTATCATTTGAACGCACCTATTCCAATATCAGAATTGATTTCAAGCCGCCAAACAGCAGATTCAATTGGACTCATGATTCGGAAACTGAAAGAGAGAGAGAGAGAAGCAAGTATTTGGGTCTCAAATTGCCATCCCATCTCTCGTTATGAGTGACTTCAGCATGGCAATTATAATCGCGTGTCTTAGAGAATTCAACAACGAATCATACGAGGAGTTCCTAGAACGTGGTTATCGCATTGATATAGGTGAAGCAAATAAATCAGATATAGCTAAGTACACGCATCATGTTTGTTCAGCACACATGCTACAAATTATCAAAAGACATGCGAAAGAACTGTGCGAAAAGTATCTTTCTATCGATAGCCAAGTCCACATGGCAATGCGTTTCTTTGGGCGTCTAATAGCCTCAACTACTTTACCGGAATTGAATAACATTGTTCGGTTAGGTCATTATATTTTCAAGAGTAAATACGTCGATGGTTCTCTTTTAGAAATATTAGACAACTTTTCGGATGTTATCCATGAGTTTAACAAGGGATATTGTGAAAACGAAAGTCGAGAGTCCAGATGACTTTGGATAAGTTTTGAAGTATCAATAGGTTCGCCTTGATCGTCATCCATACACGAGACTAGATCGTTTTCAGTAGAATGGCCATTGTTTAATTCCTCTCGTTGATGTACATACTTAACTCGGCCTCTGATGCATGGGCGTACCGGAAGGAAAAAAATAGGGGGGCGGAAAGAAATTTGCCCGACTTTTCGGGATTGTGCCCGACTAGTACCTAAAAAAATTTTTCCGGAAAAATTATTTCGGCGACCTCCCCCCCGTCGCCAAAAAAATTTCGGTCAGTGTACCATTTTAGGGGTCAAAAAAATTTTCCGGACATACCAAAATTTTTCGGAACATCACGCAAATTTTCGAAATAAGACATAATTCACCACAAAATTGACTGAAATTTCGACTAAATTGACAGAATTTGTCCCTTTTATTTTCATTATACACCAAAATTGCCCAACTGTTGATCGAATATTGCCCGACTGTCCAAAAAAATGGGGGGGGGGCTACCGCCACCCCCCGCCCCCCCGCCTGGTACGCCTATGCTCTGATGTCCCCACTGTTTTGTCGCCATACTAGACGCAATTGTTCCACTTTTATTTTGTCCACTGTGAGCGTCTTATAATAATTTTGTGCAACGGCCTTCCAGAATTCTTTTTTTGATGATTCCTTGGAGATTGACACTCTTATTATAATGCTGGCTAGTCTTTCGAAATCCAATGTTGGTTTAGCACCTTTTCTTCCACCACCTTTTAAGCCAGGATCTGCATGCTTATGCCGCTTTTCTGAGACATTCCAGATGCATCTAGCTGTATTTTCCAATTCCTTTAAAAAATGAAGTCTTCTGGCATTATTTCTTTTTTTAATACTCCCAGGTGAAACGCTTTGGGACCGATGTCGATAACGGTGATAATGACCGCCTTGGTTTTTCAAGATATTTAGAACATCTCGTGACTTTCTCATTGTTCTCGACGAACAATAAGCAATGATATATATATATATATATATATATATATATATATATATATATATATATATATATATATATATATATATATATATATATATGTATATATATATATATAAAACTATAAACTATATAACTTTGATACGAAATATGAAGCTTGGCAATCAAGCACTTCTGATGATGAAACACTAGGGACTACAAGTATAATGCTTGAATTCTCTTCGAGCACGTCCTGAGGAAGACCAGAAAGTAAACCCACTGAAATCCTGAGCTGTACAAAACCACAGACGCAATACTTTGACGAGTTTATACACACCGGACAGGATTTATAATCAGGTATGCCCGAAACACTGGTGAAACACTAACGTCGAGCTGAATAAGGTATATTTTAATATTTTATAAATGTCAACGAGCCAAACTCAATATCGTTTAGACGAACATACTACCAACAAAGTTGCAGTTGAAAATAATACATTTCATTATTACAAGTTAATTTATTGTATATGTTCGGGTGATGTTTATACTTATCTAACAATAAGTATTTTGCGTAACATGACGTGCGCCCACATTCTCAAGGGGGGTGTGTGTTTTAAGCCTTCCTTATTAACATAATCAGCGCAACCTACGCATGCTTATAAAACTATTTTATCTTTGCGAAAAGGCGTCGTTTTTGCTCATGTATTGAAAAAATACAACGCAAATGCCAAGGAAAATTGCCTTGTTTCCATTCCTGTGCACTATTAAATCCTTCCCTGCATGGCCTCATTAGATCGCATGCATTTGCATGTCGACATTATAGTTAATTAATACGGTTTTCCCCTGAGATTATCAAATGTCCGGCACGTGCCAGAGGACTTGCATTATTGTTACATTTAATATTTCACATCTCTTGAAAGTTGATTTCTTATGTCGGTAACGATGCTATAGTGTTCTCATGAGTTGCTCATGGTGGATATATATCCTAAAGTTTCAAATGCTGTAAAATATGATAGTATGAATATTAGTCTAGAAGGGTCATCTTTTAAAAAATCGTTGCAAGGCGAAATTAGCGAGAAATTTGCTAGACGTATTTGACATGTTATGGCCTTTCGGCGACTTGAGCCGCATAATAACACCATCTTTAGCGATCTTGTTTGCGTCGTGTCTTTCGGATATTAAATATATTTATATCGTTAGTTCTTCAGCAAAGCGCATCAAATGATATTATGTCATAAACATTTCAAAATCTTACATCTCTAGAGCGTAAATTTACGCATACCAAAGTTGTTGTGTTCACGGAAGGATAGAATTAACACAACCGGGCGGTGCGTGAAATTAGACAGTTCAATTTTGCGCGAGTTATTCATCGCGGTTTCGCGATATGGAAACAAGTTAACCGCTTGAAATTACTTTTGAATACATTTTCTAGAATGGTCATCAATCAAAATTTTAAATTTTTCGTTATAAAGGTAAAAAAATAAGGTTTTAAACGAGCTTTGCGATCTATCCCACCACTGACTAGCCCCTTTGTCAGAAAAAAAACAGTGATCTTTCACAAGCTACCATGGACGAACGGAACGGAATAATGTCTTCATTTTCCCTCACGTACTAAAGAATATGACATGAAAAAATGGTCTTTCAAAAAAATTGGATTTCCATTAGTGCTTAACTGTCCAAAGCAGTTTATTTACAAACTAGTCGTTCCAGCTCCAGGTTGAAATCGAACCTGGAGCTAGCTCCAGGTTCGCGAACCTGGAGCTGCGAACCTGGAGCCGTCTGTCTCGTCATGAAGGCATTAGCGAAGTCTAAAGTTCATCAATGATCGCGGGCGTGGTTCACTGTGCGTGGGTGGTCATCTCACTGATCTCAAAATATGTCTGTTTGCCAAGAGTGAAGAAGGCAAAAAATATAAAAAAAATATATGTAAGAAAGCTTGGAAAATCGTTCACATAACAAATTGTAAAACTTTGTTTCCTTTTTTAAACGTAAACATTGATAAGAATTGATTTAGTATGAGAAATCCTAAAGTATAGGGCAAGTTTGTTTCAATTGTTTATGTGTGACTTTGTATTTATATTAAATAAATATAGACTTTGTTCTTGTTGTTCAAGTCTTTCCTATGCATTGTATGCGAATGTTTCTTAGTTAAATTAACTTTTGTAGAAGTTCATGATAAAAAGCAAGGAAAGCAAATTATGTTTTTATTTATCTACGTTTCGACTATATTTCAGTCATCATCAGGATTAACTGATTTGTTTATCCAAATTATGTTCATATAGGCGTCTACCCTGGCCCAGAGTTTTTTTTAGGTTTGCCGAACGCGAAATGCGAGAAAACGCGCGAAGAAAAAGGAAAAACCTCTGGTGAATTTGTTAGCGATTCCTGGTTCGGATAAAGAATGCAAAAAATGTATAATGTTTTAATGCATCATATTCTAGAAATATTATCCAATCATTATCCTTGACGCCAGGCCGTCTAGACAGGGTTTTATCGCATGTATACTGTCCAGTGTATGCCTGCCCATTTGTAGCAATATTCATTCTCCTGAATTTCATTCAATTTAAAACATCACATCTATTCAATTTAATATAAATATATATTTATATTCATTCACTTTAATCTTGCAATATACATTCAATTTAATCCTGCAATATACATTCAAAAAAATCTGTATTTTATAAATTTATTAAACACACCTCTTTGGGCCGACGTGAACTTTGTCTGTTAATACAAAAGCAAGCAAATTTGTCTTGTAGATTTCAAATGAAACCATTCCTCTCCATTTTGCATTTCGAATAATAGACTCGGGATATTCTCGGGATTACAAAATGCGAATGTAAACTCTCCATCTAGTATTGCTTTCTCGTCCTCTTCGTTTGACAGTGAAGTAACACGGCATCCACGAGTTCAATTTGCAAATGACTATTAAGATGGGTTTCTCCAGAAAATTGTGGCTTTTGCCAAGTCGTCGTGCTACTCTCGGTGTTAGAACTTTGGAATATTAAACTCTTCCCATAACCGATAGCAAGATGCAAATACATCTTTAATGTGAATCAAATTGGACAAGGCGCGGTATTGATGCTCCGTTAAACTTTTAATTCAGGAAATTTATCAATCTATCTATTAATGCAGCCTATAAAACTGCTTCTTTCAACTTTTGTTCGTTTATTTAATAATATAGACATTTCAAAATTCAAATGTTTCAATTCAATCAAAACACGAAACGCCTGCGAACAGGCTATGATGTTTACAATATCCAATCAGAACACGTAGTCTATCGAACCTATAGTCAGCAGCCAATCAACTTTTCCTTCCATTTTTGAAAGTTATATTTGTGGAATGTGAACCCGAAAAACTACGCCAATTTCACCAGAGGGTTATTCAAAATAGGCGAAAATAAATACCCTCTGGCTCCAGAGTAATAGGCGTCCTGTACGAATTAAATTTATTTCATTTCAAGGTGTGGGTAATAAGTTGAAGCTCGAATTGAAGAGTTTATTAGCTTAATATCGGCAAAAAGCAGTTAAGTTCAATTCACATTTAAAAACGTTTTACATGGAGTTTCGTTTTGCATTTTACATTAAAATAAAGCCTATATAGAAACAAAATAATATACCTACTTTAGTATATGATTGTTCTGTATTTAAAAGTGTTCAAGTTTCATCTATTTAGTGCAGGTTTGTTTGTAACTACAAAAAGTTTAAAAATTAAGAGGAGATGTTTTTGTATGTTACGTAACACGCGCTCAAAACTAATGCGTATAATATATCACTTGAGGTTATGACTAAATTCAAAATTTTTATTTTTCGATACGTTTCTCAATCGGCAAACAAACTTAAAAAGTATGTTTAGTGCTTTATCTGTAAAATAATGCCAAAATGAAAAGATTTTAGATGATACGCCAAAGAGAAAATCGGATGTCTGAAGTTCAGTAAGTTTTGCTTATATGGCTGTAAATGTGGCGTCAATTTTAAAGCATCATTGATAATTGTATTTTATATATTGACAATTTTTAACTATTATTATATGTTTCTCAACCGACAGATGCATTTAAAAAGGTGGCTAACTG